TTTCACTGAGTAAATTTGGTTCCTATGGGCATTGTGCAAGTGTGTGTGACTGTGCTGTAGAGAAGCTTCTCTCTGGCCTCATCTTCAAGGAGCCCCTGTAAGGATTTGAGCGGAAAATGCAGGATGAATGTCTACAAAAATGTTTAAATGAACACTATTGGACAAATATTCTTGCTAACAAACTAAGAAAAGCTTAATGATTCAGGCCAAAGCTGATATCTCTAGATGCTCCACTGCAGCTGTGTATTGCCAATTGGACAACATCTCTGTGTTACATCCCTGAGTGCAGGGATGTCTCTCCTCCAATACCTTATCTCTGGTATTGAGCTACTTGTACCTGGTGCTTCTGAATAACATGATGGTACTTTTGAATATGATGAACTAAAACTTTGTGGTTATAGTAGTCTGTAACCATGCTAGGTGTTTTGTATTTTGGTTTAAATTGCCAGGTTTCCTGTGTCTCAGTCCATTCAAGTTTTGGCAATTGCACGTGAACAAGCATGCATGCACACAAACAAGTTTTCTTTGAGATATTATTAACAGGAATGTAGAGGATTTATTGCAGCATTCCTGCTTGACCGGTAAACAAGTTTGTTCAGGCTATCGTTCTGAATCCCATCCAACTTTCTTTGTTTACAGAAATGATCTCTTAGCTTCCACTTAAGCAGTAATTTAACACTACTTTCCTTCAGCTAGTGATAGCTCTCACTGTATAGAAATCACTGTGTTTTTACTTGTCTTTCTAAAATACAATACACTGCTCTACATCCATTCTGTATTGAATCAAGTGAGATTCATAAAACCTTTGACCAGGTGCTGAAACTGATGGTCAATTCAGTGGGGTATATACATGTACACACACACACATCCTCCCCTCATCTTGTGATGGGCCTGGCCCATGAAGTATTTGAAACCACAGGTTCAGAAGGTCTTGCAAAACCTTACTACTCCCTTCTTAATGCTCCTATGGTTGCACTGAGCCACTGTTTGCGTGAGGAAAGCTTGCTGTGTATCCACTGATGGAGTGCAAGCACCAGCACGTGCTGAGATACTGCAGAAGAGCTACACTGTGGTGTGACACCCTCTTCACTGATAGGGCCAGCTCTTCCCCAGTCTAGGCTCAGAGATTTTCTTTCTGGAGAACTGGGACACAAAGAGAGAGAATGAAGAATATATTGATTTAATCATAGACAGAAGCCATGAGTCTGGAGCATGTGCCTTTGCCTGGGAAATGCAGAAGTGGTCCAGAGTTCTGGCATTACTGTTGCTCTGTGTTGCCTGTTATAGCATCCACTAATAATTTGCCTGGATTTTAAAAGTATTAGTCCAGGAAAAGGCTGATATCTTGCTCTCACAATACGAACTTGCCTCAGAGTAAGAAGTGTGACATTCAGAAACGTGGGTAAAGAATGGTCACTAGACAACAATATCCCAGGGCTTATCTTCATATTATAAATATGTTATTTCTGGGAGCCCTCTGACAATTAGTCAGTGATTGAGGAACTTAAACTATAGCCTGAAGTATTGAGGGAGGTAATAGGGCACCTACTTCACTCTTAGTCCCAAAGAACAGCCTCCCTCCCAGTCTACTGTGATAACTATGAGAACACTGGATATGTGACCAGGGTACTAGAGACATCACTACACCTTAGGGAAATTTAGCTTGATTGTAACAAAAGCAATGTGATTATCTTAGAGCTGGGCTGCTACATACACAGGGAAGAATTAGATGTATTTTAAAGTAAAACAATACAATGTTAAAGAAAAACATGACATTAAAAATTGACTTAAAAATAAATCGCTCAAAATTCCAACCTCTGAAATTTATTAGAGAAAATTGAATTACACTGGAGTCTGAATCCTGGTTATCCTGAAGTAAATTGAATGTTAGCAAGAGTGACTGAAGTTGATCATCTGGTTCATTTTGCCTGGTGCTTTTCCATACCAGACAATCATGTTCTATATGGAATTTAACACAGAGATCAAGAATCATTTTAAAACTGATCACATAGATCATACCCTCTTGGCTCTGGAAAAAGGCTCTGCAGGAGTATTGCTGCTTAGCAGCCACTATCACCTTCTAATTTCCAGTTTTCAGTCCTGAGGAGTTTACTTGCCTTTGTTCTTGAACCAAAGGCAAGTAGCTTACAGTAGCCATCTTATGCTCTCCACCATCTGCAGTCCTCCACAGAGACATACTGTTCCTTGTAGCCTTTCTCTGCACCTATTCTAGTTGGCTTCATCTACATAAGAGTAGGTGACCCAAATTGTGCAGAGTTGTATTGGGTGTGCATGGCCAGGTTTTGGTAGTGAGGAGCTACAGGAGGGCCTTCTGTGAGAGGTTGCCAGAAGCTTCCCTTGTCTCTGAAAGAGCCAATGCCAACCAGCTCTAGGATGGACCCATCACTGGCTGCGGCTGGGCCCATTAGGGACACTGGTAGTGCCTCTGGGATAATGGATTAAAAAAAGATAGCTAGGGGAGGGCAGGGAACTGCTGTGAAGACAGTATCCTAAGAAAAGAGATAGAACGTGAAAGACATAGCCCTGCAGACACCAAGGTCAGTGAAAATGGAGAGGGAGGAGATTCTCTAGGCACTGGAGCAGAGATTCCCCTGCAACACATGGGGGTCCACGGTGGAGCTATCTGCCTGCTGTCCCTAGGGAACCCCGTGTCAGAGCAGGTGAGTGCCCGAAGGAGACTGTGACTCTGTGGGAAACCCATGCTGGAGAAGGGTCCTGGCAGGACCCATGGCCCAATAGAGAGAAGAACCCGTGCTGGAGCAGGTTTGCTGGCAGGGCTTATGACCCCAAGCAGGACCACACCGGAGCAGTCTGTTCCTGAAGGACTGCACCCCACGGAAGGGATCCCACACTGGAGCAGGAGGAGAGTGTGAGGAGTCCTTTGCCTGAGGAGGAAGGAGCAGCAGAGACAACCTGTGATGAACTGACTGCAGTTGCTATTTCCCATCCCCCTTCACCACTGTGGGGCAAGCAGGTAGAGAATTCAGGAGTAAAGTTAAGCCTGGGAAGGTCTGGGGGGAAGGTGGTTTTAAATTTGGTTTTATTTCTCATTATTCACTCTGATTTGATTGGTAAGAAATTATTTTTACCCAAGTCAAGACTGTTTTCCCTGTCACAGTAATTGCTGAATGATGTCTCTTTCTCCTTATCTAGAATCACAAGCCATTTGTAATATTTCTTCTCCCCTGTCCAGTTGAGGAGGGGAGTGACAGAGCAGCTTTGGTGGGCACCTGGTGTCCAGCCAGGGGCAGCCCACCACAAGAGTATCATTGTATTTATATTTAGGCATTAGTAGCTGGTGACAGAGACTAGGAAATAGCAATTTGCTATCTAATATAACTTTTATTCAAACTATTTATAGCAATCACATTTATTTTTTACTATTTTTGTGAAGTGAAAATGCTCCATTTCAGATTTGACTGTAGTGTATTTACTGCAGAAGAAATAAGTAATTCAGTTGGTATTTCTAAAAATATAATTAGTTGATGAGTCAGAGAAGAATTTTCGTAAATGTTAAGACTGGAAGATTGGATTTATCATGATCAGCGTGTCTGACCTGTGACTGTGTCATATCTTAGGAGTCTGCCTGGTAATTCTTGCGTCAATTTGTAATTAAACTGGAATATTGTTCAGACAGGACTGAACAAAGGGCCCAAACCACATTCTTGCAATGTGCTGAATGTTATTTCACACAAACAAACAAAAGGTACACCCCACATACAAGCCTGAATATGGTGATTCACCATTTTAATTAAAAAATTTTGGACCATTAACATTTACTAATGTGCTAATCTTTGACAACTCAGTGCAAATTTTTAGAACATCATGCATAAACATGAACCAATATGTGTGTGTATATGTGTATATATATATCTGTCTATATATATAACGCAATGAAACATATTTCTATTTATGGGAATCTAGGCCTTACCCAGAACCTGTATTAGCCATGTGAGATTAGTAAATAGAAAAGGAAGCAGCTGGGATAAAATAAAAAGGCATGAACTCATCAAAATCTAGAATTCAATAAAAGCCATGAAAGAAGAAACTGAAAACAAAAAATGAACACCACGTAGAGCAAAAGATAATATTTTATTGACTAGAAAACAGATTGCTAGATACTCGTTGGTCAGTCATTATCTGCACTGATTTTATACCACTACAGTTCAGCCTTGGCTTAGCTAGGCACACATATCCTTTTTTTTAATCTTTTTTTCACTTTTCTATCTGAAGTAATGGCTGTCTTCACTATGAATAAGGGCCACTCAAGTCAGCCAAATAGCCCTATGCACTTAAGGTCAGAGTCTGAAGAAGAGTGACTTAAAGACATGCTAGATGAGGACTTAAACAGTGCTGAACAGTGTAGAATCTGCTATTCTTAACATCACTGCTCCATTCACAATGGCCCAGTACATGAACCAGGCCACTGTAACATACAGTATGGAAAAACGTTTGTAACACAGCTCTAGATGACCTTTAATAATAGACAATTGATTGCTGAAGCTTAGCAAGCAGATAGAACCTTCTTAAAGCCAGCTACCTAGAAACTAAGACCTTGCACTGCAAGCAAGAACTGCCTGGCTTGCAATGACAACATTACTAATTCTTGACATACTATTGACAACTACATATGGCACATGCTAACATGAATTGGGTATTGGTTCTGGAGAGCTTATAGCCTGCTGTCCACAAGCAGGCATTTACAAGAAAAAAGATGGACTGTGAATCAAAGACCTAACAGGGTTGAAATGGTAAGGTCATTAATGGGGCTTTGACTGCTGTCAAAGAAGTTTTGAAGGGGCAAAGTTAAAGGGATAAGTGTGAGTGTGTGCTTGTGTCTGCTAATTAAAATATATACTTTATGCATGTATTTGAAGGTCTAGTGAAGACAATGCAGAAAGAGTCTTAAGGTATATTAGCTATGGGAAATGTACATTAGCACTATTCAATTTTGGGCAATCCTCACCTCTTTCAGTAGCTCAAAATACGGGTTTATTTATACTCTAGAGCAACTATGTCTGAAAAATTAGGCACAGTTACCCAAATTTGGGAAAGAACCTGTGTTGTAGTGTTTTGGATGGCTGAAGACTATGTTTTTGAGGAGCAATCCCAGTAAGGGGAGGAAAGTGACCTTTTTTTCCCTTTATCTAGCTCTGGAAGGGGCCTCTCTGACTCAGTGGCCCTCTGTGTGGAAGCACCTCCTCCTCACAGTTTCTGCCTGCTTTGTCAACATCTTTTTGGTCCAAAGTGTGGATGAATATAATACTTATGAGTTGTTCTCATCAATGTTATGATCCAATAGAAAAATGTACATGCCTAGCTTTCCATGCCCCGATCGGCATCTGTAAAACAATGGTAATGCCTCATCATTATTCATATACCATATAGACTTTTCACAATCCTCCTTGGTTTCATGGGAGATGAAAGGTAAATTTTTAAGCTTCTAACAGCAGAGTGCAGTGTGTTACAAGGAAAACACACACTGTAGTTAGATTTAAAGTATATACAAATCTTTTCTACACCATTTTCTTAACCAGTATGGGGCTGTTTAAATTTTTTTATAAGCAGTTAAAGATATGATAGAATTAAACTGCTGAGGGAAAGTTATTTGAATGACTAAATAACTGTCACAACTTTCATATGGTTTTCTTACAGCAGAGTAATGAACTATGTTGTCACAGAGTGACAATAATGCAGCTGTACAGCTTTCCACAGAACTATGAAGCAGAGCCACATTCACGGCAAAGGATGTCATCCTGCCGAGTGAGGAATTCCCGGCTCACCAGTGGGACAGAGCATTTGGCACAGTTAAAGCATTCCCCGTGCCACTGACGATCTTCAAATGAGATATATTTGGCACTTCCGAGAGCTGAAAGAGATTATGAAAAAGAAGATGTGAATCCTGTATTTCTGGACATGGTTCAGAAATGCAACAGAAAATTTCTGATGTGTGATCAGGTTGTCATGCATACAGCAAACAAACAAATGAACAAAAATCCATAGTCTGAAATATTCTTTGTTGGCTGAATTGAAAAAAAACCCCATAACTTTAAAATGAAATACAGTGAGAAGTATTTTAGGTAAAGCCACAAGTCACTCTCTTGCATATCCCATTATGAGCTCTGAACACAATGGGTTAATCAGAATGTCCCTCAGATTTGCTGATCTTTCCAACAGACTCTCATGAAAATTATTTGCGATATGCTTATACATATAGTTTCTATACAAGAGTTAATGGAATTAATTAATAATTTCCTCCTAAGTTTCTTCAAGATGGAGTCTTTTGGAAATTACCAAACCATGGAATTCCTAGCACAAGTATCTGAAATAAAATCTCGAGGTTTGTGGGGATTTTGAATGTTTTTGATTTGTTTGTTATTGTTGTTTTTTTGTGTTTGTTTGGTTTTTTTGGTAAAATCATGTACATTTTATTGGGTATTCATCATTTGCTTTGTCCACTGGCATGTGCAGCATGCACCTGTAAGAATCAGGTAGTATTTTTTTCAACAGTTTAGTCCACACATAATGGAATTACAATGCAGAACACCAGCAAATGCTCTCAGAAAACTTCAGCTGTCATAGGCTAGTGACATATATGTCTAATTATAAACCATCTAAGTACACAAGGATGCACGTGACAGAGCTTTGTTGCATTTGGCAAGCTTTCTAATTTGACAGGTGTGCCTTACCAGCAGGCAGTTAATCTGTGTTCAGTTTGATCACATTTGCATTTAAAAACAAAACTGAAGAAATTACAGACGTGAGGGACTTGTGTGTACTGTCCTGGGAAGAGCAAAAAAAAAAACCCTTTTCTTATAGTCTTAAGGAGGAATTTTAGTACAGAGTCAAATCAAATGATGGAGGAACTCCTTTTAGCACATAAAAAGACTCCTCAGAAGTTCGGGAACATGTGTGATCAGCATGTCCTAGCGACATACATCACATGTGATACAGAGTGTGCCTCTCTAATAGTCAACTCCTTTAGTCTTTCATTGTGATGAGACTATTTTACTGGTGTTCTCTGAAGCAAGGCTTTTAGAAGAGACACATGACTGTCTAGTCCCCTCTAGAAGATGAGACTCACCTGTAATAGGTTTCTTGCAAGCCGCACACTTCTCAGCATACAGTTTGCTGAAACAGTCCACACAGTATGGGTACTCATCTTTTGAAATAAACCTTTGTTCGTACAGCTGGGTTTTACACCCAGCACAAACAAAACATTCTTTATGCCAAGGTTGGTCATGGCAGGTCACCCCTCCAGAAGTTATTACCTAATGTATTGACAAAGAAGGACAGAGCAATGAAACAAACATGTGAATTGGGAAGGATTGTCTTTGTAAGTACTTCCACTTGTTTTCTCTCTTCCTGTATGCACAAGAGGTGAGATTGTGGTCACATCAATTGTTTTTCATCTGGATTTTCAATTTGACTAACTGCAGTTGAGCTCAAAGTGCTACTGGTTTGGTTTTCAGTTTTCTATCACAATATAGCCTCCAAATTTGTAATAACCAGGTTACCTTTTAATGAAATTTTTCTATTTTATTGTATATAAATGTTTAAAATCAGGCATTCTCTTAGAAGAGGAATTCTTAGTGGTGGACAGAGGATGAGAGAACTGATGCTGAGATAATGGTTAATCTCCAACTGGAACTGGTATTTTAAATAGGAAGAAAGGCAGCAAAAAAGTCTAAGTAACACAGAAAGGAGATTTACACTGTCAGAAGAAAATATGGTATTTAGCAGTGTCATCAGCTTTTCATTCCCAGCAACTCACAGCTCTGCACTGGTTATTTCTGAAGAGGGAAATTTCCTGTTTTCTATGGCTCCCATATTGTGGTAAAGAGCTGGTTTCACAGAATTTGTGAGAGACTGTATAGAAAAATTTCTATAAAGATGAGCTGTAAGATAGTGTTTCTACCGTCAAGTCACATGCACAACAGTGAATGAATGAATGAATGCAGTTGGAACAGGAGGAGAAAAAGTTGGAGAAACTTAAGTAGAAATAGCAGTATCATCAAATTTCCCTGGGGAATACAGTTTCAGGGAAATAAAGAATAATACTGTGTCATCTCAAGTAATAAAAAGATTTAAATAGTTCCTATCCCTTTAACATTCCAGTTTTGGGCTATTTCAAAGTCACGTTTGCTTTTCCATTAAAATCTAAAAATTGCTGGCACAAAATTAAAGGCTACAGTTTGGCAATTTAATCACTTTGGGCTCAATTCTTATTTATAGAAGCTGATGCAAGTTTAAGAAGTACAATTGTTTCAGCTATTATATAGGGGGACACTTCGCATTCCTAGAATTTTTAAGAAGCAAATCCTGATTATTTCACGTTGGTGCTCCTAACCTCAATGCCTCTAATAAAAATCAAGAATAATTACTATAATTTTCATGTGATCATTTAATACAAACTACAGGCTAGATGTAGAAACATGGAAGTACGTTAAAATGCTTTCTAAAGTTTAACTACTGAAGAAAAAAACAAGTTTACAGGTAAACATTAAATAACTACATAAATCATAAGTTATTTGATGAAGTGAAAAAAAAATTTGCTTTGCTTCTAGAGTGGTACAGGTACTAAAGAATAAGATAAATTCTGCCTTAAAACGAGTTTAAAATGGTTCCCTAGAGAACAGCATCATACTAGAACAGTATGATGAATGAGTTTTTTTCATCAACTAGAGGCAATTTTAAAATGTGAGAAATCAAGGGAGGGAAGAACTGTTTTATTTATAATTGGGATAAAAAGAAAACTCATTTGAAACAAGCTAGCAGTGGGACTCTTGACTAGTGTTATCACAACTGAATGTTACTTGATCTGATAATTGCCTGATATATTTCAAGGGAAAGAAAGACAAGACTCTGGATGCCTTGCTCAGCTTAGGTGACTTATGCATGTGAATATATGCGTAAAAGTAATGGAAAGAGAGGCAAGTTTACCTATGCAAAATCAGACATTATCAGGAAAGAAGGCTGTTACATGACTTTCTGTTTAACCTTTGCTAAAATTCACAATCAGTAACAAAAGGAGCCCAAAGCATTTGTTTTGGTTAATAAGTGTATTTCAAAGATAATCAGTCTTAGATTAGTATTAACCAAAGTGGACAATCGACCCTGTTGCAGTTGGCTTTCAATGCCCAATGTCAAAAGAAAGAGTCTGCTCTTCCTTTTAGTTCACCAGACATTTTACATGACCCAGCCCTTTCCCCCATGCCTCAATAGCACAGTTTTTACATTACATGTTTAATTACCTTCTTGCAAGAGTAGCAATGGTGAGCAAATTGCTTCTCAAAACAGGGCACGCAGTAATTCTCATTATCTTTGGTGATTAATGGTTTTGTTCCCAAAGGTTGCTGACAATACTGGCAAACGAAACAGGATTCATGCCAGGAACTCCCCTTAAATTCCATTTTACGGGAACCTGAAAAAAGCCACAGTGAACAATCTCCCTGATATAGCCTTTTAATATAAGTTTTAAAGGTTGAGAATACTCTTATTTTCAACCCTCTGCCTTAATATCAGGTTACCCAAGAAAGCACTTATTTTCAATTTAATAGAGCTTCTAAGAATGTACTTGAATTTTCAAGAACATATTCAGATCCATACAATCACCTGGCAAAAGATGTGTTAAATTGCCTAAGCTGTGATTTTGAGTTTGTCCTTATATGAATCTTTTGGGGTTTGTTCTTTGTGATTATGCTTCAGTTGCTCAGAGTTTCTCTCAAGCCAGCCAACTCAGCGATAACATTCAGGTTCACAGCACTTTCATAAATTAGAGATTAATTTCTTGGATGTTTACTACATCTATTATTGTCTTGGCTTTTGTCTTCCTTAACTAAGGCTCCTTCAATTATAAATGCATTATTTATCTTAATCAGCTTAAACTGGCAAGTTTTTAAAAGTAAGTATTTTTTCTGTGATGCAGTGCATTACACTGCCTCTTCTCATAGCTCATAATTTCATCCTAGATCAACAGGTTTTTTTGTCATGTTTAACTAGATGCTTTTGATACAGCGCACACAGAAAGTAGTTCAGTTAAATGTCTATCAGAGGAGTTTCAGAGATTTTATTTCTGTGTACAGCTGTCCTGTACACTTTGGTGGTAGAAGCATAAGTCTAAGATATGCACATACAACTGAAAATGAATTTTCCAGTGAATCTCCATCATAAGTTCTTTCCCTGTAGGTATCATCAGACTGCAAAGAGAGGTGCAAGGTAATTTACCATCCTTTCCACATGAAGAAGAGAATTGCCAGCATAATGAATTAATCCCACATTACCTCTTTCCTGGACTATGGGGCTAGTGGAGAAACTACTGGTTGTATTTAAACGGAAAAGGTTTGCAGCTTCATCCCAGTGATCAGAAGGCTAACTTCACTCTCTTTGCCTGAGTCTTTTCAACACAGAGCTAGTGAGCTGATGAGAAGGAAATTAATGATACAGAGACAGGCTGGTGTTCCCATGCCAGTTCAGTTCTCTCTTTGCACTGTCACCTTCAGGCACTTGCCTCAGGGATTTATACTCCTAGACTCTGGGGCAATACCTGAAACATGAGTATATACCAGAAGATGATAATGCAAACCTGGGTAAATTCTGGTACTATTCTCATCACATATGGTAGAGTGTGCTTATTTGACAACATTTTTTTAAACCATATACAATTTAAATAGTATATAGTCCTAAAACTGAACACAACGATATTGCTACAGCATTCCTTTCCTCTAATACAGCTTTTACCTGTCATGAAAAGGAAGTAAACTGTAAAATTACAAATCAATGTTACAGGCTGAATATGACATCAATAACCTAGTATTCAAACTGAGACAATAATTCTGCACAGCCCAGACTCTATTGTTTGGTATTAGATCTATTGAAAGAGAAAATTCTTATGTCACCGCCAAATTTACTGATGCCCTTCACCAAAAATTCCCAAACTAGTAGTCATAAGGCCATGACAGCTAATTTGCAGCTGGTATTTAGAGTTATATGCAGGATCTGTAAAATATTTTGAACACTGAGGGTAGTTCTCTGTTCCAAAAATTGGGTACTTGCTTGCCTAATCAAGCAGCTTCATTTTTTCATATCCCGTGCTGTGGTTTCTCTTAGATGCCTCTGAAGAATTGTCTTTTGGGCAATCTCTCTGCTGTATGAGCTTTACTGATGTGGTAGCAATGAAGGGCCTAGAGGATGTCCTGAACAAACATGATCACAAGCTGAGAGGCGGTTTAGTGGAAAGTGTAGAATTTTCAGTGTTGCTAATGGTAGGAAATAAACCTACTGTAAACACAAATGTATCGTTTTTAGCAAAAACACTGATAATGATCTGAAGGTAGATTGTCATGTTTTGACAGTTTAAACAAAAATATTTTTAAGTGAAAGAAACATCATAAAGAACATAAGCTCAAGGTCTGGTCAATGTGACAGACAAACATGCAGATGTCTTGTCTCATCTGTCACTCCTGCTTACAATAGCTCAGTTTATCTACCTACCCTCACTGAGGGATATGCTTCCTAAGAACTGCAACAGAATCAAGGACACAGCATGAACTCATTTTACCCAGTCTTGAACTCTTAATGTTTTTTTATAAGGATTCATAAGACCTGTCGGTGCTAGATCAGAGGTACCTGCCTGCCCTCTCCTCGCTGCCGGGAGAGTACTACACACAAAGGAGCAGTAGTCACCTCAAAGCTGTAGTGAAAGTCCAGGACCTTGTATCTTGCTTTTCCAAGAAGGTACTCAAAATTAAAAATCCATTTTTCACAGGAGGGTCCTTGTTATCTTACCTGGCATAATGGTCTTCTGGCAGTGGAAACACTTAGATGAATACTCATCAGAGTAGCATTCAGTACACAGCAAGACCTCGTCCTTGGCAGCAAATGGTTTCTCCACCAGTGAGCGACTGCACTTGGCACAATTGAAGCACCTCTCATGCCAGTGGCGGCCTTTGTAGGCCAGATCCTTGGAGAAAGTAAGTTCGTGTTAATGAAAACATTTCTTCAGAGTGTTTTTATCCTTCAGCTCCTCACAGAATTAAAATAAAAAATGGAGAGCACTGCCGTGGTGACTCGACAAGATGACACGTGCATCCAGCCAGGGGTGTGCTCAGGAATGATGCAAGTACTCAACTTCACACTGTTTTGCAGATCTCTTGCAGAGGCCAATAGGAGCTTCTCTAGCAGACACAATGGTCCTTCCTTCCTTATGTAACATCAAAAATACGTTTTTATTGGAAGAATCATTTTATATTTTACAGTTGGCCTTCAAGGGGGAGCAAGTGATAGACATTTTTAATGTGTGCAGACCACCTGACAAGAAGTCCGTTCTCCATAGAATTTGAAATGAACCTCATGTATTTTCAATGTCACTACTTTTTTCTTCCACCTAACAGTACATGATGCTAAAAGAAAGATCATATTATTGCAGAAAACAAGCAATTAAATCTCATTGAGAACAAAGTCATTATTAGGAAGATTAAAAAAAAAAAGTCACTGCTTTTGTTTACACCTGATATAAAGTCTCCTGAAAACTGAGCAGAAAAATGTTTCTGTAAGACTCAGTAGGCTTAGGGAATGAAAGAGTTCACAGTGTATATATGAGACTTTGACTAACAATTCAAAAAAAGACCAAACAGCAGATATAGTTTTTCCAAGGCTAAAAAAAAAAAGGGAAAAACACACTTCAACCCCCCTTCCCCAAACATAAACCAGCCCCTTCCTGATCTCCTTTATAAGTAAGAAGCACAAAAGGGCACAAATCAAATCTCATTGTTCTCCTTTGTCAAGTCTCCACCTTTTAAAGGGGTAAAAGTGAAAGAAATACCATGCTTCATTTCCAGAGGTGCTGAGCACTTACCACTTTGATTTGCTTTAGTTAGCACTCTGAACCTTGCTCAAAGTAGGTTATCAGCCCAGACTAGCCTGAGGCAAAGACTGGGTAGGAAGGAGAGGAAGAAAGCCAAGCTCAAACAGCTTGGCAGAGGTGGGACAATCAGCTGTAGATTTCTGTGGGCCATTTTTCTAGATTACTCTAGCCAGTTGTGTTCCTTTCTTGTCAGTCCTGCTTTTTTCTCCCATTTTTTCCCTCCACTCAGTCCAAACACATGATTTTTGTGTACAATCTTACAATCTTTGATTATAGTAATCCTGTTGTTAATTTTCAATTTTAAAAGTTAAATTATTGAGCTGAAAGCACACGTTTTCCAGGTGAACCTGACTGGTGCTAAGTGTTCAGGTTTGCTGTTGGAAAAATGCTGATGAGAGTTTGAGGAGTGTCTTCATCCAAGTCAGCATTTTCCTTGCTGAGTGATTCCTGTACTCAGACAACGTGCTCTGAAGTGCTTTGGCTGGGGAAACCTTCCAAGGGGCTTATTTTAGTATCTTTCACCTCTTATTTCAAAAGAATGTAGGCAGAGCGAGCATGGAGAGAAGGTGAGCACTGCACACTGAACCTGGCAAAGCAAAGGCTTTTTGCTAGCTTTCATCAGAACTTAAAATTTAAAATCAAATGTATATGCTTTAAATTGAAGTATGGATTACTGGAAACCCTACCAAAGAACACAGGGGAATTTTTATTAATAATTAATATTGTAAGGAGAAGGAAAGTTGAAATGAAAGTCAAGGTCAGAAACACTGCCACTAGCATGCCATTTGTGAGACGAGAAAAGTAAGCATGGAATTAGGTAAAAATTCAGAAATACTTAATTTCCAAAAATACATGGAATTATATGCAAATTGTAAACATGTCTTTTCAGCTTGGCACCTGCATGTCATCACCTACAGTAAAAGTAATTTTTTCAATATACAAAATATTTTTTCGAAGGACATCTCTCAGAAATTCCAAAGTTTCATTCAACCTGATACACTGAATTACATCACACACTATCATCCCTCCAGCACTGTGCAGCTCCTGCAGCCAGTGTGTGACTGGAGGTGAAGTCTAATTTTGGTCCACACATACACCACAGCTTTGCCTTATGCTTGAGGAATATATATATTTGGCAGATTTCCTAATCTTTGGTCCCAGATCTTTTCAATTCTGGGAAAATAGCTCTGTTTCTGTCTGCTGTGTGTGTTATACAACTGCTGTGTTTAGGCTTCTTCAGGAATATAGGGATATGCAGAGTATCAGATATAGAATCTGCCTTTAAAAAAATTGGGTTTGTGTGTAATTTAACAAAGAACAAAAACTGAAAGCTAAATGTTTACCTTGGAATTGCACTCAATAGGTTGTTTGCACTCTTCACAGGGGTTGGCATACAGGCTGTCATAACATGCAACACAATAAGCATTTTCACCTCTCAGTGCATATTTCCTTCCACGAAGAGACTGCAGGCAGTAATGACAGTCTGTGTGACTGCTGGTCATTCTGTTGGGGTTCTCCACGTGTTCTGGAAAGACGGACAAATCATGTAATTCAGTGAATGGCCATTTGCTTGGTCAAATAACAAGTAATGCTGCATTACCTGTGAAAGTTAGACAGGCATTTTTTTGTCATTTGCAGTGCCCTAGATTTCTTAATGCTGGGTTGTTCTATAATAAAATGGTAGCCTTTAACACATATACTGTGTATTGTATTACCTACATGATGGGGAGCAAGAGGACTACTTCAGCTTAGTCTAATTATGCTAACACATTTTCAGGTCAGACACCTGAAAATGAAACCATCTTCACATTCTCTGCATACAGCTACCGGCATTTTAAGACATGGTTTATCTAGAAATCAGGTAATGGAGACAGAAGCAATAATTCAAAAATGAAATCAACTGTGGAGTTATAAAAAGACCAAAGAGAAGGGGCAAGCACTTTACAGTGATTTCCTGACTTTCTCTTGACACTCCTGTCTTCTGCTCATTCCTTCCTTTTCAAAATATCCCCACATTTACCTAACCAAACAGAAGGAAGACAAGGGACTCCAGGATATATGACTGTTTTTTGCATTATCCCAACTGTGCTGCTAATATTTGCTGGCAATGTAAGGTCACATAAATACCCTTGGATAGCAAAAGAGTAAAATATAAAGAGAAATAAACTAAATCAAAAGTCAAACAAAATCATAACTCAGAGAAAATTTCCCTTGTTGTTATTGGAAAAGATTGTTTTTTCTTACATATTTCTTTATTGCTGGGTTCCATGTTGGCAGTACCAAAATAATGTCAGTTTATATTTCTGTGCCAGACAAGTGCAGGAAATATCACAAATCTATTGAGAGCCAGTTGTACAAATTTCCCATCCTTCAGTTTTTCAGGCTAAAGAGGGTTGGGTAAGTATCCAAACCTCAGCTGCAATGCTGAATGTTTTAAGGACTGTGGAGATGAAGACTTATTTCAGTCTTCTTGTTGCTGGTTGGATCATCAGCACTTTGCTAAAATTGGGTCTTGATTCCTGGAAATGAAGGAAGAAGGAACCAGAAAGTTCCCAGTGAAGCAAACCCCAAAACATCTGCTGGACTCATTGGATTGCACTCTGTTAAAATTACTGGGTGTAGCTGGTTTCAGGCAATACCAGCAGCCATGGATTTTAGAGGAGTTAAAAACAACTGGGGAAGGTCTCCTGGAGTATTTACATATCAGTGACTTTGGGCAGCTGAAATTTTTGCACTTTGAATAATAGTGCAAATTAGTTTATCTCAACCAGATGCAAAGCCTAAGAGTAAGGAAGAGAAACATGTGGAGGACAAGATTCGAGGGAGCGCTTAACCATGACAAAGCCTTTCTCTAGTCCACTTAGAGCTGTGCCCTCATACTTTGTTTTTACACACTCACTGCCTGGTTTATGCCCATGGTTGAGTTTTAAAAAGGCATTTTATGGGCTTATGTTTCGTACGTCTAAACCGAAACTGATGTTCAAACTGTGAGAAAAGAACAATTACTGCAGGTCTCCACTGGCACCAGTGCATAAGGTCAGGCATTCACTGACCTGTTCTGAGAGGTGTAGTGGTAAAATGGTGGAAAGGGGCAGGAAGAGAGGCTATCATACTTATTTCAGACCAAAAGTAGTGACTTGATTGTTTGGCACAAGCTATGGAAAACTTGTTGCTCCTGTAAATCGAAAATTTTTAACATTGAATTGATTTACTGTATCTCTTATTGCCCTTAATATTTTTGCCAACCAAGATAGGCTGCAGTAAGATCTGTAACTCAGATCAGTGGGAAACATGCTTGTTTAAAAATATTTCAGATGTGTTTTATGTGATATCCTTGAAATAATAGTATAATAGGGTTTGAATCTGGACTTCCATTTCCTGAAGATCAAACAGAAATTTGAATGTGAAACAAATGAACCCATCTATATGAGAAAATTACATCCATCAGCTTGTACATTTACACAACATAATATATAAAAAGCAGACAGAGTTCAGTGCACTGAGTGCACAATTATAGTCATGACCAAAATCAAGGTCAAGTTTTACACATTTTTTTCTATATCGGGGAAGGAGTGTAAGTTGGTGTCTAAGGAGACAATCAAGGAATGTTTGTGGTTAACTGTGCTCCATATTCAGGGTCATGTGACAGGCTTGAAACTGGGTTTCAGAGGAATTTCCATTCCTTTTTCTGTGGAAATTAGAGTTATGAACTGCCTCAGAGGATAACCCTGAGTGAACCACCTTCCTGATCTCCTGCTTGCTGAATCAGTACTCCAGCTTCCTAACAGAGTTTCATGTCAGCCTAAAAGTGGCAAAAGCAAAATCCTAACAGAGCAGAAACAAAGAATTTATGTCACTTATAGTTCTTTTTGTTGCACAAAGCTCAATAACAAATAACTTCACTTGTCTGCAGAACCATCTCTTATTTTTTTCATTCTAATGTATGTCAGTCATTTTTTAAAGTTATCAAAGAATTTACATACAAAATAATTTTCTTTAAAAAGTGGTTCTCTTGATTATTACTTCTCCCCTCCCTCCCCCCCCCAGGAACTCAATCTGTTCCAGTAAGCCCAGGTAGCATCCACAAAAAACCCCCACTACTGTAATATCTCAGGAACTTCTGAATTTATAATATAATTATCCTCCTAAAACCCTATATGAATGTGGGAGCAAGGTGCTATTACTCCTGTTATACAGATGGCAGTGGTTGCTTGAGAATTTAAAAAAAATACCCCCTAGATCAGAGGCAAAGCCTGAGGGTGTCCTTGGGTTGCTCCTCTAGTAAAATGTTTAATTTACCCAAGGCTTCACTTCAGAAGAAGTCTTCAAAGTTTGACCATGATGATATAAGATCATGTTTGGGAATGAAGCAGTGATGGTATGAAAAAGAAGGAAGATTTTTGCTAATCTTTTAGCAAAGGTCTGGGTAGCCTTTGAGAAGTGCTTTCACCATTAGATAATGCAATAAAAAAAAAGTGAATCTCATCTCTCCCAGCACCACTTAGCCTTGTTCCAATAAACAAGTAATGGTACGAGTGCCACGTAGTCGAGTAGAATGTTTTTCTTGTGCTTTGATCCTAATCTCTAGAGAAATATGTTTACTTTAAGTTTGCTGGAAGCTAGACTTTGGGTTTTGAAGGTCAGTTAAGAAATCTCTGGAGATCTGATGCTATTCACTCTCATGGAATGAAACGCTGACTCCAGCATTCCAGCTGCTAGCTCGTGTCCTAGGCACAAGGAAAGACTGCCATGTCTTCATTCCTTGGGAAAAGACGATTTTCTTATTTAAACTGGAACAAAGCTAAATACTGTTGATTTTTATGTACCTAGTAGGCATGGATACGTGATATCATTTGTAGTGTTAGAATATTCCAAGGAGGCGCAGAGGGATGTTGCCAAGGACATGAGGATATTGTAACTGGGGTCCCTGGGGTCAAATTAGAGAGTGCAGCAGTCTCATGGTATGAATGATAAAATAGATGAAAATAAAACAACAGAGCTGGCTAGTCACCCTGCTGTTACAACAGATTAAGATAGAATCTAACCACAATAAATAGGACAGGGGCTTACTGTAGAGTCAAATTATTTCCTATAAAATGCAGAGCACTAGAAGATTTCCAGTGAAGAAAGCCATGAGAAAATGGTTGTGAAGTTGTGAATCCTGATAAATATGGAGTCATTAAGAAAAGAATGCTTGTTTTCTCATTGGACCTAAAAAGCACAACCACAATGTTAATATATGTAAATAATTTATCTTGATGTTTTCTATAAATACATGTTGATTCCCCTTACATTATATAAGTATAAAAAGCCCAGAAACATTAATGTTACTTAATGGGAATTAATACATAGATCTTCATGAGATATATACACACAGGTAAAAATATTATATCTTTCACTTCATGACAATTCTAACGGACTATTTCTCAAGGAAAATATGCCTGCCATTGAACTTCACCATTTTTATTTTTTTTTTTTAAGAATATACAATGATTGGAATAAGGTTCCTTATTAGAGAGGCATAAAGAAAGAAAAATTATGGCAAAATAAATGCTTGGGAAAAGACTGAAGGATAAGAAAAACAATTCGATCTGTTATGAAGAGAACACTCCTGCAAGCCCCCCGAGGTACTTGTTCATTTTTCAGGTAAGTACATGTTTTTTCTTTCTAACATGATTTTGATTGTTTGCATGAACTTACTGACTTCATTTTAGTACCTTTTTAAAAAAAAAAAACAAAAAACTGCTGAACAATTCATCACATACATTTGCATACATTAAGGATGCTATAATTCTTACGTTTCTAAAAGTGGCTAGAGAAACAAAAGAAACTAGGGGCGTATATTACAAATCAAGTCAAAACAATTACCTACAGGAAAGCAGAGACACAGATGCTAACTTTGAGCAAGCTGTTTTACCTCTGTGGCAGAGCACAGTAATACAATGTCATGTTCTGGAAGCTTCTGAGTGAGTGCAGAGCTCTCACTGATGACATTCTCCTTTAAGCAGCCAGGATGGATGCCTACTAGGACGCTGCTGTAACAATCTGACTATGCTGCTTCAAGGTTCACTGGTGACACCGTTTTGGTGGTCTGTCTAGGTAAAGCAGGTCATTTAAAGGTGGATCTGCTAATTCATACTGAATCTGTATTGTGTTTAAACACCCTATGACTACAAGCAAAAAGGACAAGAGCTGTGGCTTAGCTAGGGGATCAAGCATCTCAGGAATTCTGTAATTTTCTCCTTAATTGGTATTGCTCTCTGCTTTGTTTACACCATGCAAACTCAAATGTTGGTGTAGTCATCTAAATTCTTTCTTTTACTTTTTTTCTGAAATAATTCTTACCCACATTTTTTGCAGGTTTTCACATAGTCTGATAAAGTCAGTTTTCTCCTGTTCTCATTATGGACCTCATTCCTTTCTGACTACTGTCAGATTTATGGAATAAAACAAAGTGATGAAGTACTTCAGCTGTGCATTGGTGTACCTTGTAATGTAAAGTCCTATAAGTATTCTCAGTCATAC